TACCAGCTGTCCTGTACTACAACCAAAAGAAAGGATTCTGGTCAGACAGGACTTCTTGAGGTTTCTTTATTCTTGGCTATGTGCTTGGGCACACTGAAGCCTGTGCCACTCGTACTAGCTCCTTCTTTAGCTGACAGATCGGATTTGTTGTGCTCATTCAGGGAGTTCCCATTGTCCAGCCTCACCTGGCCATTCTTACTTGGAGTCATCTAGCAAATGCTTTTTGTGTGCCAGCACAGCTCTGGCCACAGGTGTGAGTTGGCCTCTTGACAGCAGAGTTAGAATTCCTTTGCCAACCCAGAAGAGTTTGCAGTGGGATGGACACAATTTCCATCAGTGCCTGTGGTTCTAGTAATCAACAGCTTTGTGATGGTTTGTGGCTTCATGAAAAGGTTGAAGATTAATTAAAGTAGCATAACTAAAACCACTGATTTTTGTCTTGGCCACTCAGAATTATAAAGGTGGGTGCATAAGATCCCGACCTCTGTACTGTTTTCCATGCTCTAATAGCTCCTTGTTTATGAATTAACTCTGTGCTCAGAAAGCAAAAGAGCTGTGACTTTGCTTATCAGTCTTACAGTCAGGATGATAATCAGCTTCTCATGCTTTCTTGCATCCAAATTCATTGTTTATGAAGGTGAAGACGTTACTGGAATGATTCGAATAAATCTGGAAAAAGGATGTTGATTTCAGTCCTTACCAAGGTTTTTATCCGTAGTCACAACCTTGTGCATTAGAGTCATTTTGGGCCTCTGAAAAATAAAACTTGCAGCTTTCTGGGTGGTTTTTTCCTTCTGAAAGAGCTGGGACACAGCTTTTGTTTTGATTTGTTTATTCCACACACCCCCCACACCCCCCCGTGTGACATTTAAAGCATGCTCTGTGCTTTTTTTTTATTAAAATAACAATGGATAGGCTAGAACTCATGGAGTTCTGCCAAGTTTGGATCAATGCACATGAGAACAGTTCGTCCCATTGTGTCTCCCTTATATTCCACTCCCGTGATGGCCCAATTCTCTAAATACCACTGGATGCAGCTGTTCCTAAAGGACTCTAATGTCATGCTGGTACAGTTTGATAAACATTTGGGTGCCTCAAACCCAGGACTTTGGGTCCTTCTGGTTGGGCACTCACTGCCCAAAGGCCATTGAGGCACTGAGCGAGTCCAGCCAAGGGCAACGAGGGCAGCAAAGGGCAGAGCACATGGGCAAGGGCTGAGGGAGTTGGGTTGGTCAGCCTGGAGAAGAGGCTCAGGGGTGACCTCCTGGCTCTCTGCAACTCCTGCCAGGGCTGGAGAGAGGTGGGGGATGTGTGTCCTGCCAGGGCTGAGGGAGAGGAGAGAGGGAATGGCCTTGAGCTGAGCCAGGGCAGAGTCAGATTGGATGTGAGGAGAAATGTTTTCCCTGTTGTGGTGTTCAGCACTGGGATATTGCCCAGGGAGGTGGTGCAGTCACCATCCCTGGAGGTGTTTCAGAGGTGTCTGATGTGGCACTGGAGGATCTGGGTTAGGGTTTGGGGGTTCCAGCAGTGACAGGTTCATGGTTGGACTCAGTGACCTTAGATTTCTCCAACCTTGATGGTTCTATGGCCTCTCTGGTTTGGTTCCCGCTCATATCTGTTGTTGCAGCTGTTAGAGCCAATTTCTGCATGGTGGAACTTTAAGTTTGAGTGGAACTCATTTGGTTTGGAGTGAGGTTGGAGTGTTTTCATTGAATAATAGCACAAGAGAACTGTCCCTGTTTCATAGTATCATAGACCCATCAAGGTTGGAGGAGACTCTAAGATCATCTCCTGCCTCAGAGTGTTCTTCCTATGTTCAGGTGGAACTTCCTGGGCATCAGTTTCTGCTGTTGTCTCTTGTTGTATTGGTTTCCTCCACTGAGCAGAGTCTGATCATCCTCTTGGCACCTCCTGTTCGTGGACTTGAATTCAAGTTTGTTGCTTATTTGTTTGTTTCAGTTTCTTGTATTTGTCTAGTCTAATGAATAAAAAATAATGCCCAAAATGAGCATTTGACTTTGGCTTAACTCCTCATGTTCTTCCCAGTCACTTTTCCATTGTGCTCCAAGGCCAAATCCATTAAATTTGATGGGAATTTTTGCAGTCAAATCAAGGATTTGGCTCTTCCTAAGCTTTTATCAAGTGGTTGTGATCAGTACCTGTACTCAGAAAACTTGAGGTGTGCTAAATCTGAGTTAGCTGACACAGAACACTATTGTTTTTCCTGGAGAGTCTGCACTTACGTTTGAGATAAACCATTCTTGGGAGACTGGCAAAGAGTTACAAAACCCTGCTGAGCCCGGGAATTACACTGAGGAATGTTCCCTGGGAAGTCACAGCTCCTTGGACAGTGTGCAGTGCCCAGTGGTTGGTGCTCTGTGACTCCTGGGAGCTCCAGCTGGCAGAGGTGAGTCTGCTGGTAGATGTTCTGCTTCAGCTCCTGCCTGTTTGCCTCTCCTGCAGCTCTGCTGGGAAGTGTCAGGGTAGCAGCAACTGACTGTGGTGTAGCTTCCTCCCCACCCCTGGAAATGTCATTTTTGGATGGATGGATGGACAACCCCCTTTTGTTCCATGTCCTTTTCTCTCCCAAGGTGGCAGAGAATGCAGAGGGACAACCCTAACTGCTCTGTGTTTGTGAGTTGGGAGCCTGAAAACATCCTGTTTTCAGCAAGTCCTGAGGAGCTGCTGAAAGAACGACCCAACTTTGCTGTCTCTGTGCTCAGCTCTCAGCAGTCTTTGAGAAAATAAAAACACCAGAGGGAATGGTCTGCTCTGCTCAGGGTGGTGCTGCAGTTTCCACTGCCTCTGGATCAGCTGTAGGTGAAGCAGATGAGTGTGGTAATGTGTTTTCTAAAAGCAAATCTCATCTTTCAAGCCTTTAGAGCAGTGAGAAGAAAAACAGCTGCTTTCAGCTGATGGTAGAAAAATACATGTTATGACTACCAGTTCACATAAAGAATCCTCCATGGCATTTCAGGTGACTTGGGGAATTTCTACTACAGGAGTCCCTGGAGTAAAAGTCATTCAGAAAGTACACATCAACATGAAAAGGAGAAACTGTTAATTTTGGCCCAATTTATTCAGTCCCAGTCTGCTGATGTAGCTATGATGCTTTGGATGTCATTCTTCGTGTTTTGGAGCTGAAGTTGCCTCTTTGGGCTCCTAAAATCAGAACTGCAGCAAACAGCAGCTTCTGCTAAAGGGCAGGGCACAGGCTGTAGAACTCAGGTGAATCCCAAGGAATTATTCCCTCCTCCACTGGCATGTGGCAAAGGAGCTGTGGCTGGTGGTGGATATGAAAGTCATTCTGAGAACCCACTGATTGAAAATGTCAGTGGTATCTGAAGTTTGAGCTGTTCAGAAGGGAAATGTCACTTCATTCAAGGAATCAGTCTCTGCCTGTGCTTAAAGACATGCCAAAACTTCAGCGAGAGGTGATAAGTAACTGTGTTGAAGGACTGGCAGGAGTTTGATCCTTCTAGGGAAATGCTGCTCTCAGGAACCTTCAGCAATGTAGAACATGCTTTCTGGTTAAAAAATAAACCATTCCCCACTGAAGCAATATTGTTATCATCACACAGGGGGTTGGAAATCTATGTTGGAAGTTCCACTTACAGGTGGGTCTATGTGAGGAGAGTGTCAGGTTAATGGTTGGACTCAATGGCCTTAGGTATCACCTCCAGCCTTGATGATTCCATGATCCTCTATGGGAATCTCTGCTTGGTACATGGAAGCTTTGTGATGTCATTGTGACTTCTGTTTTTTAAAAGCTATAGTCAATGATTTTTTAAAGCTCGGATTGCTGAGAACAGCACTTTGGCTTCAAAATAACAGTTACAAGTAATTTTTTCCTTGTGCTTGACTTAAGAGTAAGCAGGTGAAAAGGACTGAGCACTTCAAGGAGAAATAGGTGATCTTTTCAGCACCAAACTCAGGTGCTGAAAACTGGTTAAATCACTGCAAAACTTCTGGATATTTTAGAGGGGATTTCATTTAGCTTTAGGGTTGGAGAGAGGTGGGAAATGGTCTGTCCTGCCAGGGCTGCAGAGAGAGGAGAGAGGGAATGGTCATAAGGGCAGAGCCAGATTGGATGTGAGGAGAAATGTTTTCCCTGTTGTGGTGTTCAGCACTGGGATATTGCCCAGGGAGGTGGTGCAGTCACCATCCCTGGAGGTGTTTCAGAGGTGTCTGATGTGGCACTGGAGGATCTGGGTTAGGGTTTGGGGGTTCCAGCAGTGACAGGTTCATGGTTGGACTCGATGATCTCACAGGTCCCTTCCAACCCTGATGGTTCTGTGATTCTAGGTGTGAATAATCCAGGAATGCTGAAACAGTATTAGGTTTGTTTTAAAAAAAAATATTAGTAGATTACAAATGCTGCTGAATAGGGAGTTCAGGTGCTATTTTTACCTGGAAAAGTAACTTTAAAGTTAACTGGACAGGTTCATGGTTGGACTCGATGATCTCACAGGTCCCTTCCAACCCTGATGGTTCTGTGATTCTAGGTGTGAATAATCCAGGAATGCTGAAACAGTATTAGGTTTGTTTTAAAAAAAAATATTAGTAGATTACAAATGCTGCTGAATAGGGAGTTCAGGTGCTATTTTTACCTGGAAAAGTAACTTTAAAGTTAACTGCAAGCACAGCACTGAACAGATTGCCCAGAGAGGTGGTGGATTCTCCTCACTGAGGTGTTCCAGACCCCTCTGGACACAACCCTGAGCCATGTGCTCTGGGCTGGCCCTGCTGGAGCAGGAGGTGGGACCAGATGAACACTGTGGTCCCTTCCACCCTGACCCATTCTGTGATCTGTTAGAATCTGTGAACATGCAGGAAAGTAAAGGTAGGTGAAGGTCTTAAACTGTGAATTGCTCATGTGGGAGAGCTGACAGACATCAGTCTGGGGAAGTTCGTGTTTGGGATACAGGGAACTGTGTTATGGTGCAAATGGAGTCCAACTGCAGAAAAGTAACCTGTGTGTTGCTCTTTCAGGTTTGAGTATGAGCACAGTTGAAGAAGAGTCTGACACAGTGACAATAGAAACCGTGAACTCTGTGACTTTGACTCGGGACACTGAAGGGAACCTCATACTTCATTGCCCTCACAATGGTATAGAATTGTACTGCACAGTACTTCTTCCTTTTTGATTGATCTGACCATCATATTTCCCTGCCCCCAAAATTCCATGAGCTGCTTGGGTTCAGCTTGCCGTGTTGCTATTTGTTCTGTTTCAGTTTCAAGAAGGACAAAGTGTCAAATTAGGTGTAAATCCCAAAATAATGTGCCCAACGGGGCTAGAGCTGCTCTGATTTCTTTGAGTGGAAATGCCTTCCTAGAACCAAGCATGTGCCCAAATTCCTGCAGCCACAGGGGCCTGGTTTGTGTGTGACAGACTGTGGATGGAATTGATAAGGAAAACCTCACAGAAAACATGTGCTGAGGAAAGTGTGTGTGAGCTATTGTTGCCCATAACTTGGACCAAGTTCCTGGGCAGCTGTAAACCTGTCCCATTTGCTTCTCCTTCTTGTTTCGGTCCACTTGGTGAGCAGAACTTGCCCAAAGCTCCACCTTGTCAGGAGGAACTAACCTGCCTCTGGTTTTGTTGTTAGAATCTGATGAAGTAGACTCAGATGACAGCACTGAACCTCCACACAAGAGGCTTTGCTTGTCAGACGATGATCAAAGCCTTGATGACTCCACTCCCTGCATTTCTGTCGTTGCAGTTCCCAGTAAGTTCTTTTATGTTCTCTTGTAGAAAACATATCTGTTGGTAAAGGTTAAAAGTGAAGATTTCGAATCACGTTGGAATGTTGTGCATGGGTTTTTCTGTTCACATGTTGTTCACATACTTGGGCACCACCTGTAGCTCTCACAGCCTTGGGTGGGTTTGTAGCACCTCATATCTCTACAGCAGTGGCAAAATAGACCTGCCTTAGAGGACATAAACCCTGCAGGCATGTGGGATAAAGTGAAGGATAGATGAATGAGCAGATGCTCTCATCCTGCAAAGAGAGATTTGGGGTTTTCAATGGTCAAAGTAGAGTTAGTGTTTAGGTGTTTGGGAATATCAAGGTGTGTGGTCTGTTTAAGGCAGAGATTGTTGTAAAAAAGTCAGAGGGAAACTCAATTCACCTTAAAGAAGTTGATTGAATATTGGGTAGTTCAATATCAAATATCAAAGGAGGCCAAGGGTGTCTTGGCCTGGCTGAAGCAGAGTGTGGCAGCAGGACTAGAGCAGTGCTCATCCTCCTGGACTTCTAAACAGCAGTTTGTAGAACTTGTAGGATGCATTGAAAGGTGTCTCAGGATGAAAGTATGGAACTAACCTACCTGTTTTGAAGTTTCAGAAAATGACCAGGGCTTTGAGGTGACCATGACTGCTACCACGGAGGTAGCTGAAGATGAGATTAATGAAGGAACTGTTACTCAGATTCAGGTACAGTAACACTTCAACATTGAGCTGTGTGATGTACAGTTGTATTCAAATGGAGGTGAGAAGAGAAACAAATACAGAAAGATCTACTAAATCAGTGAGACCATTTTTAGTGTGAAAGTTAGTACCTGAGTATGATTATTATATACTTTGGCCATACCAATCCCACCCCGCACTCCAGGCTGGGACAGAGTGACTGGAGAGCACCAGGAGAAAGGGACATGGGAGTTTGGAGAGACAGGAGCTGAAGTCAGCAGTGTGCTCAGGGGGCCAAGAAGGCCAATGGCATCCTGGGCTGGATCAGAACAGTGTGGTCAGCAGGACCAGGAGGTGATTCTGCCCCTGCACTCGGTGCTGGTGAGGCCTAGGGTTGGACTTGATGATCTTGGAGGTCTTTTCCAACCTGGTTGATTCTGTGATACCATTATTAATTAAAATTACTGACAATGTCATATTATTGATATATTCTTATAGTTGGCATTATATTTTAGTATTTGAGCTTGGCTCTTGTTTGTAAAATGCTGCTCTGTAAAAGGCCAGTGGAATCATTGCTGTACTTAAGAGTTTGGGTTTGGTGTAATTCACTGCCCAAAGAGCATTACAGCAAGCAGGAGTAGGTGTAAGCACTGACAATTACTTGCCCTGTGGTGATCTGCATAGAACACAAGTTCATGTGGTATTTCTGTCATTCTTTGGCTCTAAGTTAAGCTTTATAAGTGGCCTAAATATGCTTGGTCAGTTCCATGCAGTTCCCATTGTGGCTGTACCGTGTCTAAAGGTTCTGGATTGGAGATGGCATGGTCCTCATTCCACCAACACCAGGGAGCTGACAATTACTTGCCCTGTGGTGATCTGCATAGAACACAAGTTCATGTGGTATTTCTGTCATTCTTTGGCTCTAAGTTAAGCTTTATAAGTGGCCTAAATATGCTTGGTCAGTTCCATGCAGTTCCCATTGTGGCTGTACCGTGTCTAAAGGTTCTGGATTGGAGATGGCATGGTCCTCATTCCACCAACACCAGGGAGACCTTTCTTATTTACATTCAGC